AAGTCACAATTCACTATCCCACTGATTGAAGCTCGCTCAAGCAGCGCATGCGGAGCCAGCTAGCCACATAAGAGACGAAAAAACACCATTGGGACGCAAAACACATTTCCAAGTCAACATGTTAAAACCACCAGGGGTGCAGCCCACATTTGGCACTTGCAAGGTCGAAAACGTGCACGCAGGTGTGAGACGTTTTAAAATCAAACTGTTAAAACCACTTGGGTTCAGATCACTTTTGACAGTTCAGGTGTCGCTTCGCTTCGCTTCACTGCACAACTACACACCTACAAACTGCACTGACATGACACTACACAACCTTCTACTTGACATGACACTCCACTCCACTCCACTACACGACAACAACTCAACTACATTCCACGACACGCAACTACACTGCATTCACGAATGAACCATTAGTTTTCCATCTGCCCCACTCAGCTCAGTCGCATCCACAGTGCCGTCTGTTTCAAAGGTGTAGCAGAACGTAGTCAAGGCTCCGCTGACATCCTTGGCACAAATCAATATGAATTTCGCACGTATAAGCTCTTATGCAACATACAATAGACATGTTTTCGTCTTGCTTTGGACGCACTGCCCTTTCAAATGAGCGCCAGACACCAAGAGTATACGCCCGGGCGTCCATGTTTGGAAGCGCTCTTTCACCGTTCCTGCACCAGAGTTTGGGTGGGCGCTGTCACTACATGTCTTCCTCCGACCGATTGAACCACACTATGTGTCAAATGATGTTCACAAGTACCCGTGTCACTCGCTTTGAGCCGCTTTACTTCAATTCGTACCATCCGGCTACTATAAACTGAAAAAAAGGGTATGCTGATCCCTGCTCACCATTCAGTGTCCTCAACACCTTGTCAGGAATGAAGCTTCGTCTCGCTTGAACTTTTTGCATCTTTCCTACCAAGTTAGTAACGTCAGAGAAATTCATGACGGGAACACTTCCACGTCCAAGCTACCGCTATGAACGAGGGCACAAAGTCACTGCCGCACCATAGAAGCTAGGCATCGTACAGATCATGTGATATGGTGCACAGGTTCCTACAAAGACAAATCATTCTATAAGCATGGAGCTTCCAAACTGCCATACTGCTGTCACTGTCAGAAGAAAATGCCTATGGTATACCCAACTCTCTAACTCCAAGTATCTCCTCCTCTGTACCAAAAACCATTTTTGAACCCATGGTCTAGCCTAATTGGTCCACCACTGTGCCGCACGTGATGATGGTTTGTGGCTCAAGAAGTGCGAGAACCTGTTTGCCTTCGTCCAGCAAGAAAGTTCGCCAATTGGCTGCAACACTTTTGCATGTGAACGGCACAACTTTGCTCCATTAGTCGAGACACACAGCTGTAGTGATCGACAGTGCAGCAAGACAATAGCCACGCACAACCTCACATGCGGATTCTCCCATGAGGACCACATCTCTGTCTTCTTCAGCTCCATGACAAGACCATCTTCGCCTCACATGTCGCTCACTGCATGGAACGAGGTCAGTACAAAAGGGGGGATGCGATTAGAAGATGCTGCTGATGACAATAACGCACTTGCTTCTCCTCCTGCTGATGATAATGTTGCTGATGCGGCTAATTATGATGATGATGCTGCTGAAGCTCCTGCTGGTGACGGTTCTCATCATCATCACAGGTTTCCTAATTAGAGTGCCTGACGATTCAACTCCTTATCCCGATGATGTTGCTAATGTCGTTGCTGCTCATTAGGACACTGACACCGACGCACGGAAATAGCCATGTCAAGCATCACCACCAAAGCACTACAACGTCGCAAGCATCATACCAGAAACTCATTTGACCTCCTGTTGGACCACATCAAAGGATTGATTAGACAATGTAAACCAACAAGATAATCCCTGTTGGGTTTGCAATCCAAGCTACCCTTTTTCATCGCATGAATTTCAGAACCGAAGACCGCAGCCGGGATGTCAAAGTCCCCAGAGTTCCAAGTGAGCAGCGGGTTGATCACCTCAACGGATTACTGTCCAAACCAACGCTTATGTGTTGTTTGTTTCCTGCTACGACTTCCGAGATGTGTCACGCAATCTCCCCAGGTATACATCTTGGTCACCGCCCATCATGAGTGCTGCCAGACTGCCCGCGTTGTCTCCAAAGTTGATATCTCTCGGGCCTGTTCAGGAGTCACCTGAACAAATGCACACCAGAATGCATTTTAGCCTGCTTCTCCTTTTCACCCCCACTGCACTATCTCAAACAATACCCAAAACTTGAACATGGTACCCGTGCTGAAACTCTTTCTCGCAGCATCTCGCTGGATGCTTCCCGGCGCCAGCACCAATTGCCAGCTGAGCTGCTTTGAAATGCCGTAGCCAGAACACTTCAGCCGCTAGCCTGCGCACAATCGCGAAGAAACAGGCTCGTATGTGATATGTTTCTGGCGTCTACCCTTTTTTCTCCATGATGTTCCCTCTTTGCACCTCTCTGGCGCGATGGCAAATCCAGCTTCCCTCCCAAAGCGCTGCCAATCTGGCTTCTTCAACCTGCCAGCCGCGTGCTGCAGCGCCCATCGGAAACCTCTCCACGTAGAGGCTTGCTGAGACTTCTTCTTCGCCTCATTCATGTGTTTACACCAATCCATAGGCGATAGACCTAGATACCACAGCTTCGTTCCCCCTATTGACAGAAAACATGTCCCAGACTGATTGCAAGCAACCCTGAAAACCTGATCGTTCCAGTCCAGACATTTCACTTAGTCACACTATTTGCCAAGAAACTTTTACAAATTCCGCTGCTTTGCGAACGAGGCTCTTCCGCTTCCGCCCCCGCTTCCGCCCCATTGCAGCACGAAATGGAATGTCTACCAGTTCTACATCTTTTCTGCAATACCCAACTTCTGAACAACAGCTTGGACATTGCGAACAAAGTGCTACATGACACTAATCAGATCCATTGCAGGAGAACTACCTATCCTTCACAGGAGTCCTCCGTTCTGTCTTTTTTCAGATTGTTCCTTCGACACCGGATCCCTGAAGAATTCAAGGGCTGCAACACCAAATCACTCAACCCTTCGGCCATGCAAGTCAATACCATGACCCCAACATCAAAGAATAAATCTCCATTAGTCTCGCCCATGTACAAGGGCTTGGAAGGTTATCATGTCATGGGACTCAGAAAACCCAACAAATTGCCCTAACATCTCTCATACTTCAGAAAAGGTAATTCCTTTCCGGGGTCGGCGGCAGGGGCGGCAGCCCTTAAATATGTATGTATGTATGTATGTATGTATGTATGTATGTATGTATGTATGTATGTATGTATGTATGTATGTATGTATGTATGTATGTATGTATGTATGTATGTATGTATGTATGTATACATATGTATACATATGTATACATATGTATACATATGTATACATATGTATATATATATATATGTGTATATATGTGTATATATGTATCCAATATGTGCATATATATATATATACACGTATATTTGCGTGCATATGTACACATATTTCACGTTTTTACCATATCCAAATCATCACCACCAGTTTCAATGAGTTCTGGGATGATTTGGTCCTTCTATAGGCTTGAAGCTTACCACAATATTTCTTCGACATCATTGGCTTTCCATAGAGTGTACAGCGTACAGTATATTAATGCATCCCAGTCACCGTCAGGTGCCAACCGAATTATGCCTCGTAGAATATCCCCAGTTAACCCGTTATATGGACATCTCAGCCCTCAGTAGTGTACTGAGTGGTTGCTTTAATGGATTGGTGACGGTTTCAGGGAAAAGCTGCAGGAAAAATATGAAGAAAACGTATTCCAAAACGGAAAACCCAGGGCTTCCGGTCGATTCTCCGTAAAATCAATCCAATGAAACCCAGCCCACGCAACTTGACCTTGACTATACCCCATCTATCACACTGTTTGCTTTCTTATACCAATTCTATATCCCATTATCATAGACCACAAAATGCCCTCAAAAAATGAAGAAAAGTGAGAAGTGGATAACATCCAGGAAACACACTTTTCGGCATCTTTTTTTGGTGGTGTTGCTATAGACCAATCCATTGATTCTTGGTGGTTTCTGTTGGGTTTTTCACCTCCCCACGACCTGGCTCAAAGTTCCGGCTAAATTGTTGGCTGCCTGGGTCGCTGACGACTTGGAGAAATCTTGGAGGATTTCTATGTCCCACTTCAAGCCCAAAATCTCAAAGCACCATGAAAAATGGATACATGATGAATAATGATGAATAATGATGAATGATGATAAATGATGAATAATGATGAACAATGATGAATGATGATACATGATGAATAATGATGAATAATGATGAATAATGATGAATGATGATAAATGGTGAATAATGATGAACAATGATGAATGATGATACATGATGAATAATGATGAAGAATGATGAATGATGATACATGATGAATAATGATGAATAATGATGATGATGAATGATGATACATGATGAATAATGATGAATAATGATGAATAATGATGAATGATGATAAATGATGAATAATGATGAACAATGATGAATAATGATGAATAATGATGATTAATGATGATAAAGAACAATAAGGACAAATCATGATACAGTACATGGCCGCAAATCTTTGACTTCGGGAAATGTGATCACCTCAGAGGGGATGATGAAACCCCAGGCAGTCAGGCAGATTTCGGCATCACTGTTGCTACGAATAGACAAGATGGCCCAGCTTAAACACTCGGCACCTTTGTTGAGCTGTATAGTTACTATATGTTACTGTAGTTATACAGAACTTTGAACTGGGCGAAAGGAAAATAGAAGGGAAAACCTGCACAACATTTTGGGGTGACTACATCATGGCAAAACATTGAGCCAGCAACTTACCGGAGCAAGCCTGACCGGCCCGGAAACAGATAAAAACATGGGGTCAAAATTTTGAGACCTAGGAGCCTACGGGGAAGAGAGAGAGGGACTAATTATGTTCATGTTTTAGGCCATGTCTTAGTCTTTAACATCTCCCAACCCATCCATTTTTTACCCCGCCCATCCCCGGCCCAGCCACGGTGATCCACTCCGAGCTCTGCGTCCCTTCCCTTTCCCGCGCGTCCAAAGTCATCCGCAGCAGCGGCACAGCTTCATCGTGGCGACCCAGAGCTGTGAGGCTCAGAGCGAGGTTGTTGGACCTCGGTTGGGGCTCCATAGATTGGGAAATCCACTCAAACCCCTGGTTGTCCTTCAATGTTTAAGACTGGTTATAGTTGTTTTTCGTTGATTAATGTTGTATATAGGGTTGGATTCATTGAAGATGGGACAAGCGGAGAACAATTCAACTGGGGCAAGGTCAAGCCATAGAGCTTGCAGAAAAGTCGCTCCGTCACGCTTCGGGGATGCGAATTGCCCACTTTCTCGCGGAGGCTCACAAGGGTAACTTCCTTCCGCTGCAAAAGGATGCGAATGGAGCAGATTGGGAAACTAGACTTCCAGAGTCTCCCACGAACATATCTGGTAGGGCCCCCTGTCTTAATTCAATGCACGACCTTTGCTTGGAATTCTATCGGCCAGACCCGGTCTCAGCGCAACTCCTGCAACTCTGCTGCTTCTTGGTGACGCTGCAGACAGTGCAAAGAGAGCGACCAAGCACTTGCAACCGCCAGCGTGTCCAAATGAATCTCGCCCTTCTTCCGGCAGTAGACGCCATGGAGATATTCAAACAGCCTGACTGTCTCATCACAGCAAAGATCCCCCAAAACAAACATCGAAGACTCGTCCAACACACAATGACATGCGCTTCAGCAAAGCTCGACATCACGTGGAATCGTGCCACTGCAGCTGAGATGCTTCACGGCTTCAGAGTTCTTACCTGTGCCAGTGAAAGGAAGGTTGCATCAAGCATCCAACCGATACATTCGGCTTTCCCGTAAAAAAATGCTGAATCAAAAGTGCCATAGTAATATCAATCCAATTATAAATTATAAACCATCTCTTAACTCCCTGACCTGAACTTCTTCCCGGCCTTCTCCGGCCAATGCTTGTGCCACCTGATAGGTGGCTTCCAACACCTCTGGATCCTCCTCCGCCAAGCGTTCTGCGCGGCGGAAGCGGTGCCGTGCGGCCAACAAAGCGGCAGGACCCATAAAGGGCCTGGGACAACCCAAAACCCATTGGTTCATCATGATTGCCGCCATCAAATTGTGTGGAAACAAGCCCAAATAAGTGCCCTCCTCCTCTTCACTACTTCAGTCTATTGCAATGACTGTCTTTGCTTTTCGCCCTGTTTGAAGATTTTGAAGGTGTCACCGGCTGCCCGGGCATCTACCTCTGCACCAGCAGGCACCAAGAAACTGATGACAAACGTCACATCGCTGGTAGTTGCTGACATGGTCGCACCATTCCAGGAGGCAGTCCGCATGGACATGAGCCAAAGACCCACGACACGCGCAGGGGCTCAACAACTCCCTGCCTTCAGCGTCCAGACACAAGCGGCACGACATGCATGGCGAAAAGTCGCATTCTGGATGTGGAAAGACAGGAGATGGATTTTGCGAAAAATGTGGAAAAATGTGGAAAAATGTGGAAGGTGATAGGGTCTGGAGCAGTATGGCCACTTTAAGCTGTGATCACAATGCTCAAAATCAGTCAGTGGCATAGTCTGCACATGCTTTCATGACTCCGGTGCCTGCGAATGATTCAGATAGGCTAGCGGCTAGCGAATGTTTTGCACATCTCTTGCAGGAGTCCTGTGAGATGATATATGTTGCCCAGTATTGAAAATGTGGCAGTCCCCTCTAACATGGCGTGCCGAAAGGTGATCCATGCCTTTCCACGTGGCAATGATTGAAACATTGATTTGGGGTCCGACCATGGCGCCCGAGCCGACACCAACTCTGGGGTTGCATGACCTCAGCTAAGGCGCACCATTTCCTGGTTTTTAATGGAAAGTGGTCCCCCCAATTCAATGGAAACTGCGCACAGCCCCAAGAAACATCAACACCTGCTATGCAAGGCACTCCCTTAGCTTCCGGACGCGCCCGCTGCAGCCATTGCAGCATGGTTTCAGCCGACATCTCGCCCGTTGTCAAGCGGGCTATGGCCAAACGCCCGGTAGTGAAGGGATCTTTTGAGAGGAACTCCTGCATCTGTTGGTTCCATCTTTAAGGTGACCCTGGGTTTATTAAGGGAAGGGCTTATTGAATATCTCGTGACGGAACATTTGCAAGAACCATGTCATTTTACCAAATATACGGTACGGCCTTCCTGTGCGGGTTCCTTGCACAAAATCTGAGACTGAACAGTGGTAGTTTTGCCACCCCCCATTTAAGCACAAGAAAAGTCCTCCTGAGAGCCGGCCACTAGCACTGGCATGGCTGCAGCTGGCTAAGGATCTGAGAGTTCAGTATAGACTGGGTGAGCATCCACCCCTGCTGTCCAAAGAGGCCTGCAGCTGATGAAGATCAAGGAAAACCGGGTCGCTAGGATTCAATGAGGGATGATGTTCGTGGTTGCATAGTACCCAAGTAATATCTATATATTATAAATGGATGCCAGCATATTCTATAATGCGTGTAATATATATATATGTGTGTGTGTGTGCGTGTCGGTGTACCACACCCCCCAACAACAAGAATTACTTTACTTCGTGTGATCCCCACCATGACATTTATACATTTTCTTACTGGCAAATCTTCTGGCATTCTATCTGACATATCTTCTGACATTCTATTTGAGATTCTATCTGGCATATCTTCTGGCATATGATCTGGCATATCTTCTGGCATATCTTCTGGCATTCTATCTGGCAAATCTTCTGGCATTCTATCTGGCATATCTTCTGGCATCTGACATATCTTCTGGCATTCTATCTGGCATATCTTCTGGCATATATTCTGACATATCTTCTGGCATTCTATCTGACATATCTTCTGGCATATATTCTGACATATCTTCTGGCATATCTTCTGGCATATCTTCTGGCATATCTATCTGGCATATATTTCTGGCATTCTATCTGGCATTCATTCTTCTGGCATTCTATCTGGCAAATCTTCTGGCATTCTATCTGGCATTCTATCTGGCATTCTATCTTCTGGCATTCTATCTGGCATATCTATCTGGCATATCTTCTGGCATATCTTCTGGCATATCTTCTGGCATATCTTCTGACATTCTTTCTGACATTCTTTCTAACTTTCTTCTGCACATTCTTTGTCCCATATCTTCCTACATGAGGTCCGGCAGGGAACACTTGGCGTGGATACTCGCGGTTGAGGTCCGGCAGGGAACACTGGGCGTGGATGGTCGTGGTTGAGGTCCGGCAGGGAACACTGGGCGAGGATGGTCGTGGTTGAGGTCCGGCAGGGAACATTGGGCGTGGATGGTCGTGGTTGAGGTCCGGCAGGGAACACTGGGCGTGGATGGTCGTGGTTGAGGTCCGGCAGAGAACACTGTGGATCGCGGGTCGCAGTTGACGAGGACGACGAGGACGACGAGGACGACGAGGAGGAGGAGGAGAGGAGGAGGGCAGGAGGAGGCAACTGACATAAAATCTAACAACCCTCACCTGGCAGGTGGGGAAAAAACTGGATATATCATGATATATGGGTATGGATCAATACCTATTATATATATAATACCATTTTTAGTGGGATGAACATCCATTTACCAGCTATTTTGATGTTCACCAGGGGTACAAGGTTTTGACACACTGCCATATCTTACTTAGACGCAACCACCCATTTACCACCCATTTCCTCCCGCTGAGGCGCCCGGGCTTCCGGGCAGCTTCCGGGCCCGTAAGCGGCAAGGGATGCAAGGGGAAGTCCTCCTTGGAATGGTGGGTAAACCAAGAGCCAACGAAACAACCACAAAATGGGACGCAAGAAATTCTGGGGAAAAAAAACACTAAACGTCCAAAACATCTAACACCAAAAAGCTACATGAATAATCCATCAATCCATCATACAGTAAGCCACCCTTTATCTTTGCCCCAGCTGTCCCAGTGATGCCACCAGGCTTATTGGGACTAGACCCTGAAAATAGCACATGTTTAGTGGAAACTAAGCAATCTTCCAACCTGTTTGGCAGGGTCTAATTCTGTTTCTTCACTGGAGGACTGGAGGGTACTAAAGTTTTGATATGTTTTCATCAAATAAATAACCTATCAGGGGTGGCAACTCTGGATCCTTCACATCATTTGCTTAATTCTGGAAGCTGAGAAACTGTAGGCCATCAGCAAATAGTGGCCTCCGACAACGGCAGAGCATCGAAGTGGCCATTTTGCTGACTCCATGCCCTGATGTAGCTGACATGTGCTGGAGCGATTCCCCGAAGTGGTTGAACGAGTAGTCATTCTGGAGGGAGATGCGTGGAGGAAGCACGAGTGGCGCTTCAATGCTTCAATCACTGATGACTTTCTAGGCTTCAGACCTACCTGGACAAAACCGACAAACCCTTGAGATCGGCAAGGCGCTTTCGCGGCTTACAGGAGCGGCCGCTACCATTGCAAGCCATGGCACTCGCATTGGACAACCTGGGCACCCTCACATCTTGAAACCCTGGACCATTTCCTGAAAGTCTTGAGCCAAAGGTCCAGGAAACGGTTTGAAGCTGGTACTCTGCACACGGTGAGTCAAAATTAGGGAACCCCAAATATTTATGGATATTTATGGATGGTTTAGCAATTTATACATTAAAAAAATGTTTAAAAATGACTGAAAACTGGACCCATGCCCAGACCAGCTATCTATTACTCCACATCGCCAGCGCTGCAGCACCTCCTGCACATGTCGCACCTGTCTGCGCGGCACGGGCAAAGTCATCAGGAAGTCGCGAAGGCTGACGGCCGGGGCCTGTACGCTGCAGATCTTTCACTGCAAATTGTCTCAAAAAAAAGCGATCCCTGGTGGATATCATTATATATATATCTCTATCTATCTATCTATCTATCGATCCATCCATCCATCCATCCATCCATCCATCCATCCATATATCTATCGATCCATCCATCCATCCTACCTACCTAGCTAGCTATCTATCTATCTACCTAACTAGCTATCTATCTATCTATCTATCTATCTACCTACCTACCTACCATCTATCTATCTATCTATCTATCTACCTATCTATCTATCTATCTATCTATCTATCTATCTATCTATCTATCTATCTATCTATCTATCTATCTATCTATCTATCTAATCTATCTATCTAATCTAGCTATCTATCTAATCTATCTATCTAATCTATCTATCTAATCTATCTATCTAATCTATCTATCTAATCTATCTATCTTATCTATCTATCTATCTATCTATCTATCTATCTACCTATCTACCTATCTACCTATCTACCTATCTATCCTATCTATCCTATCTATCCTATCTATCCTATCTATCCTATCTATCCTATCTATCCTATCTATCCTATCTATCCTATCTATCCTATCTATTTATCTATCTATCTATCTATCTATCTAATCTATCTAATCTATCTATCTAATCTATCTATCTATCTATCTATCTATCTATCTATCTATCTATCTATCTATCTATCTATCTATCTATCTATCTATCTATCTATCTATCTATCTATCTACCATTGAGGCAAAGCGAAAAAAAAATAGAGAAACGCCCATCAGCCCCCTGCCTGGTCCCTGGGAGCAAGTTGAGCACATCGAAGGTGCTGACAGTGTGGCACCTGCAGCCAAAACCCTCCCGGAAAGCTCTAAGTCACGCTATCAGGTTGGGCATGCAGTAAAACTGGGTGAGCGGACCACTCCTGGAGCGTTGGTCCATGTCGTGCCCTCAGCAGGCTGATAAAAAATCCCAGAGCCTTTCAAGCCATTGGTTCTCCACCAAAGAGCAATAGCTAGTTCAACTGTGTACATGTACAAGTCTGTTGATACACCCAAATGTCCCGAACTAAGTACCACTGTCTCTTTGACATGACGCAGTTCCGAACGCAATTCCTTTTCTCAGCACGTAGATGTCTGAAACGGCTCCGCCACAGCCAGATCTTCGGCCGTGCCAGGGAGCTCCCTGCGGCGCTTCCGCGGGGCCATCACAAAGGGCCGTGGGGGCCCTGGGGGCCCTCGGCCATTTCTGCCTCGGGCTTTGCCTGATAAGGGCGGTATGGGCAATAACCTCAGTTTGGCAATGTGTTGGAGCGACTCTCGCCATGGAGACCCTCTGCTTGGCCTAATAAACATAGCTAAGGCATTTTGCGATGCACTGCCACTTAGATCCACTTAGATGTTGTACCTTTCACTGCTGAGGGTTGCAGGGTTGCGGGGTGATGAAAGCATGAAGAGTACTAGCACTCGATAGGCATTTCAAAGGCTCTGAGTCTCTCACGCGTACATTTTGTCGACAATCTCCTTCGCGCAAGTGGGAAGGCAAGCAAGTACCACCATGATAGGATGATTACAATATATTACAATCTACAACATGGGCTCTCAACCAACAGCAACCATATTAAATCAGCCCATCCTCCTAACCTCAAGATACCTCAAGTACGCTCCAAGAAGGGACCGCAAAATGAATCAATCCAATACTAAACCAGTGTTTCTAGGTGGTGCTCAATCTTTGTGACGCTTTTTGTTGGTTGTTTCCACCTTCCCAACCCGTTTTTGCAGTCGACCCCCCCGTTCTCACCTCCATGTCTCAGGATTTGGCAATTTCTCGCGGCGGAGTTCACCGCAGCAAACCTTTGTCCAGGTGGTGGGGTCGAACCTGGGCAGGGCAGGGAAGCCACCCCTTCAACTGTGACTGAGAACTGGAGTTTTGTGGATTTGGTAAGGGCTCCGATGTGGTTTTTTGGGGGGGCGGTTAAGCCAAGTAAATGAACATTATAAATCATTATAACATTATCACAACATCATTAGCAATTGCTAATATGATCTAATATTAGTGTTTACCCTTCTTAAAAAAAATGGTTAACATGAAAGATGCGCTGATGATGTTCCATTCTCGGAAACGCAAAAGCAGAGAATCGTCCCCAGATCCCCAGATCCCCAGGCTTTCAGACTCTGCCAGGGAAAGTTTGTTGGCTCCTGGAGCCACGAACCTGGAGGACAGGGACAGGTCAGAGAGGTCACAGGAACCTTTTTGGTTATCCAAAATGGTGATAGAAAATGTCATATCCAACAAAAATGTTTATTGTAATCTTATTGTTATCCAAAAAATACGAAAAATGCCATGGGATGGCATGATGGCATGCGTCTAAAATTGTGCAAATGATGATGCGCTTGAAAACATGATTGAAAAAAAAAACTCCCCGAATCGAAAGGATAACAATGACAACAGTTCCATCCCTCGTGCACATGGTGTCACAACATAGCCACTGTTCGACTACAGAGACCTCAGCACAACCAGCAAGGCCCAGACATTCTAAAGAGTTCACGCGGTTCCGTCTTGTACTCTGGATCTTTCATCCTGAGACAGCATTCAAAAGTGTTCAAATCATTTCGAATCATTCAACAAAAACAAGCCAGAAGAAATTAATTCTGCCATATCCGTCTGCCAAAAACCCTGGCAGAATTAGAATACAGAAAGCCGAAGTGTCTGAAGACGACGAATGCCCGCCACAAATTCCGCCTCACTAACCTTGCAGCCCAGGGAGTCCAGAGCAGTTTTCAATCTTCGGAAATTTCGGCAGATGCACTGAGGCTCCAGCAAAACCCTTGCGCTGCCGGTCCAATGTCCTCCACCATCCCTTCATCCTAGGGACAAAACCACAGTGCGCGAAGCCGCGTTCATCCCGCTGGCCCGTAAGGTCAGTACATGCTGCCATGAAGTTTCAGCATGACCTGCGCTCGCAACGATGTCCATGACCGTTGAAGCATTGGAATATATTTGAATGCTACGAGATGGTTCGAGCCTTCTTCAAACCGCACACATGCAAAGCGACTTCAGGGCAAACCTCCTTCAAACCGATGGGTTTTCAGCAAAAAACAATGCGTAGGAAAGGTGAGATGGCTATTGGATCTATTGGCTTTATGCTGGCATGCACTGTCCCTTTTGAACTCTCCTTGAGGGTGACAATGCCCTTCTCATTCGCGTCAAGTTCACGCCAGAGGCTGCGAATATCCCCATTGAAAAGCATCTCCCTGCAACTTTGGCAGAACTCTGCGTAGCAAAGATAGCCCTTCTGATGAACATCCATAGTCCGCCAGCCCGCCAGTACTGTGCCATACTGCCTCCTTCCAAGCAAGCTGCTGAAATAACTGTTCATAGGGGATTCAACTACCCCCGCAAGGGTGGCGCCAACAACAGATGGTAAAGATTCGCCCTTGCTACAAATGTGGTTGTCGCTGGTTTAAGATTCGTTTGAACAAACTGCAAGTTGTTGCAAGTCTCTCCTGAGGAAGTTGCAAAAAGCATGTCGTCCATGTGTGCTACCAGCCCTTTTCAAGCTCTCTCGCTCGATGCAGGCCCTGTGCGCTTGTGCATGGAAGCATCTTCGCACAAGTCCTGGCGAGGTCCACGATTATCCAGGTCCACAATGACATGATCTCGCCCCAATGGATTGAAAAAAAACGCAGAAAACTATTGGCTGTTACTATCGAACAAAAATAAAGAATGTTTAAGGTTTCCATGTTTATTTCCCACAAATTCTGGCATCATCACATTCAAATTCGGCCGAATTTGACCCTAACTTCTGATTTGGCAGCATCTGTTCTCCTTCATTCGATTTCTGCCTGTTGAGGAATTTATTCCACTCGTTTTTCTGCTGCAGCTGCGGGGCGGACTGTGCGCGAGAGTGGGGCCTGGCGTGCTGGAACCCTCCAAGAGAATAGCGTGTCGAAAAGTGGGATGTTTAGATACGAAACCATGAGGAACCTTGGGATTTACAGCTATCCTTTTTTCGGACACACTGACACACTCATTTACTTCCACTGGAAAAAAAACAAGATGCAGCCCACGAACCCGAATGCAGTCACGTAGAACACTTTTGTGAAACAAATTATTTGAACAGTCTACATTTTTCCCCTGCTACCCTACCTGTGCACTGTAGACTGTGGAATGCAAAGAGGGCGGGGTGCAAAGTAAGGAGTGTGCATTCTAAAGTGCGCAGTCTGGAGTGTGAAGTGTAAAGTGTCGAGTATAGAGTGTAGAGTGTAGTGTAAAAGAGTGCAGTGTAAAGTGTAGAGTGCAAAGTGTACAGTGTAAAGTGTAGTGTGGGGAGTGTGGAGTGTAAAGCGTAGAGTGCGGAGTGTAAAGTGTAGAGTGTGGAGTGTGGAGGGTACTGGGCGGACGTCGTTTCTTACCCCAGGCACCCAGAAGTTACCCCATCCCCATGGCACACAGGGTTACCCCAGGCAAACCGGAAGTTACCCCAGGGACCAAATCCTATTGGCACACTGGTACCACGCCATCGTTGGTTTGGCAAACAAAGTAGTTAAAATGTGTCCGTGCCATTGCGAAACATATATTTAATACCATCTCCTTCGGTGATAAAACCATGTTAAAAGTTGGCAACCGCCATTGGCACACACGCACTGACAGCAAAACAACTGCTTTCCACATCCAAATGAGAAAAGGAGCCAATTCTGCAGCACACGCCCCGTTTTCTTGTCATACTCTGGACATGGATTCGTTTGATTTCGGTAGTTTAATTATCTGTTTCCCAATGGCACACCTAGTGCGAAATAAGTCGTGCAAAGCATCTCTGACCCGAGCCCCGGCGTGATCCTACGCCATTTACTAGAACTTGCGCCACCCGCATGGCACCTTCCTTACGCCAGACATCAATAATCTTCCGCCAGGTGGAAATCCCATTGGCACACCGACGGTCAAAGTGGACTAACTCTGAAGCAGGCAATACTATGCGTTTAATGTAAGCTTGTAAGCAGCAGCAGACTAAGCAGCAGACCATTGCAAAGCCTTTCCAAAACCTCTCCGGGCTGGGTTTTGACTGGCTGCAATTTAAACGGGGTCCGAACGAGGTGCAAACGAGGTCCAAACGAGGTCCGAAATCAAATTTTGGGAGACTGACCCCCTAACTCTCCTGACATACTCTTTGGTAGCCACACGCTTTCGCATTCTTTTCAGAACAGTAAAACTCAAGAGCTCTCAGCGGTGGAGCAGAAGAGGAAACCAAGCCAAGCAGCAGCTGCAGGCAAGAGCAAAAGGAGACAGAAGAGGAGACAAAGGGCGAGTAAGGGAGACAAAGGGGAGACAAAGGGACCGTGATAGCCAGGTAAGCATCGTGTGCCTATGCGAAGTGCCAAAAAATACATCAGTAAGTTAAAGTCATAGGCGCTGCCCATGTGGGCCTCTCCCCATTCCCCATAGGCACACCACGATTTGGCACAAGATCTTGTCATCGGCACTTGTTACAACATCGACCCAGCTCCCAAACTTGAACCCACTAGCACCAAATGGCAGGCACACCGATGTTGGCACAAGATCTGTTGTGCTGCACAAAATCATTGAAATACCCAGGGCCACACATTCTCTTTGACCGAGCATGCCACTGCGTTTGGATGTCACAATTATCAAACAAAGTATACTCATAATAAACAAACACGTTTATGACAACCGGTGTGCCCCTGCATTGTGTGCCCTGCTATGGACAAACAAACAATAAGAAGGTTTATGACTACAAATGGTAGATTCATGTATGTGAAGTTCAGCGTGCCTATGCGTTTTGTGGTCTTACAATAAGCGATGATCCAATGGAATAATAATATCATATATATCCTTTATACACACTTCCCCACGGCACACCGACCTGAGACAACTTCAGGGGAGCCGAGACAAGAAACAACCTGAACCCAGTAGAGTCTGGAGTGTTCAGTGCAGAGTGTGGAGTGTAGAGTGCGAAGTGTGGAGTGCAAGTGTGGAGTGTAAAGTGTAGACTGTGGAGTGAGGATTGTGAAGTGCAAAGTGTGGAGTGTAAAGTGCAAAGTGTGGAGTGCGGAGTGTAAAATGTGGAGTGTAAAGTGTAGAGTGTGGAGTGCAAAGTGTAGAGTGAAAAGTTTAGAGTGTAAACTGTAGAGTGTGGAGTCTAAAGTGTCGAGTGCGGAGTGCGGAGTGTAAAGCGTAGAGTGTGGAGTGTAAAGTAAGGAGTGCGGAGTGTAAAGTAGGGAGTGTGGAGTGTGGAGTGTAAAGTGTGGAGTGTAGAGTGTGGAATGTAGAGTGTGAAGTGTAAAGTGTGGAGTGCGGAGTGTAAAGCGTAGAGTGCGGAGTGTAAAGTGTAGAGTGTGGAGCGTAGAGTGTACAGCAAGGAGTGTGGAGTGCGGAGTGTAAAGTGTGAAGGGTGGAGTGTGGAGTGTGGAGTGCGGAGTGTGGAGCGGAGTGTAAAGTGTAGAGCGTGAAGTGTAGCCCACGAACGCGTGTAGAGTGTGGAGCGTAGAGCACGCAATGCGACGCGTCTGTAGTGGCGCGCCTGCCACGCAAAATATCGCAAAATGACGACAGAGGTCTCCAAAATTCTGCGCCTGGCACGAAAACTGCAACTCATCTTGTGAAAGCGACGCAAAAGTATTGCGCCTGCCACACAAAACGGCGTTCGACACGTTATCAAACAGGTTGGAATGTCAGAAAGCGCCGCGCTTGCCACGCAAAACGACACGACAACCTGCATGGAAACCTTCGAAAAGGAGATGCTTTGCAGCTTCCCCTAGACACGGCGATGCCACAGGAAAACCAGAGACTCGAGACGAGACACGTGGAAGCATCAAAACGTTCTTAGAACCTAAAAATTTGAAACCCCAAAATCGAAGTTTCCTGTCAGGCCTCCGTCAATTTTCATCACATCTCACAAAGTGCAACGCCTGCCACGGAATTTGCACCTTTTCGCCACTTGACGCAGCCCTGACAATGGGATTCGCAAAAATCACGCCACACGACACGTCTAAAGTGCTGCGCCTGCCACGCAAAATGACGATGGACATGTCTAAAGTGCTGCGCCTGCCACGAAAACTGCAACGCATCTTCTGAAACGTCGCAAAAGTATTGCCCCTGCCACACAAAACGACTTTCCACACGGCACGACACACGTCGGAATGTCACGAAGTGCCACGCCTGCCACGCGAAACGAAACAACACGACGTTTCAAACCTCCAAAAACGACCCCTTTTGCAGAACTTACCATAGGCACGGCCATACCGGGTCCACGCAGACGGTTGCGGACGGTTGGGCAACGTCGAGCGAACACACCCGGAACCCCCAGACCCCCAGAGTGAAACGGGAACCCTTGCTACGCATTCCGGAAAAAACAAATGGAAGTTTCAATGGTTTTCTCTTGCCATATTTGTTTACCAGACCTGAACATGCTGATGATGAACCAACGACATCGCCGAGATCTGCGGAATTAGAAGCCGCCTCGAGTCCTTTGGTCTTGCTCCTCCCGCGGAGACACTTTTCCTTGGACAAGAGCTGAAGAATTTGATGTTGTTTCACTCATGATTCTTTTCTGGTTCGAGTGCCCAACTCCAGGATAGGGAAATCTCCAGTTGGGCACGTCCAATCCAAATTTCAGAAATGTGGAGGGTTATGATGCTTAGGGCTTAGTGATGCCAAATTTCGGAACCAACACTGCCTCACGATCCCCTCCATCTGATGGAGACGTGGCAATGTCGTGCAGGGCCAAAACCTGCTGCACACCACAAATCACATCAAATCATCTTAACCTAAAACGCGTCCCCCGTGAGGGTCACCAGAAAATCGCCCACCTTTCTGGATAGCCGCGGGCATTCCAAATCCATGTTGCCAAGCCCCAGAACAAAGTTTGAGCCATGCTGTGCAGAGACCGCGAAATTGATAACAAAAATCTCACAAACACTGAGGTGGCAAGTTACAATTTTCCACTGGGCCACGTGCAATCGCAGGAATCCTTGGGCATTGGATCAAATTCACAGTGTATCATCTATCAGCAAGCTGCGCAGCTTGAAACGCCGAGGCACAAAGGCATCTCCTCTGCTGAGAATATTTGCTGACGGGCAAATTGAGTTGCTGTCACTGGAAAAAATGTTGAAACGATTTCCCACCAATGTTGTCTGATGCTGACGTTATCTGAAAAGATGGCATCCAACCGAAATGTGCCCGATCCGTTCTAAATTGTTGCTTATGGGGCCGCATGGAAGCAATGTCTTAAGCCGAAGCCGGCTGCCGTTTCCAAATGCAATGTCCAAATAATTCATCGTGTCGTCATGTGCCCAGGGTGCAAACACGCACTCATCAAAAAACAACACGCAAACAAAAAAAACAAACTTGCAAGTGTCAAACATGCAAGTTTGAGAGCAGGCAAAACGGACGCAACGCCTCGTGGGTAGACACTCGCAAAACTATTGTGAAAATAAAATTTAAGGTTCACCCCCACCCTCCACACTGGAAAGAAAACTTTAAGACACCGGACAAATACTTACCAATCTGTACTTCCACCAGTTTTTGCAATTGCAATCCCTTATTTGTACAATATTTGCAGGGTTTCGGAATCCAATATGCAACTGGCATAGCATTAAAAGCGTTTTGCATGGGTTTATCTAGTGCTGGTTTACGGTTTCATTTTATGGGAGATTTATTTATAGGAGGGGGTTAAGTTCCCGAAAGCATGTGTCCACACTTGAAGGGTTCTTACGGTAGGTGTAAGGGCCGGTGCTTGATCAGGGTGCTCACTGTGGGCCGCGGCATTTTACCTGAAAATTTCCTTGTAAAGAGACTCTTGTGAGATGTTGACATGCGTTTCGACTGCGCAGGCTCGCACAAAGTGTTGGGTTCGTTTTGGTCTGCGGCATTTTACCTCTACATTTCCGCGTCGCGTGGCCCCTGTGAAATCTTGACATGCGTTTCGACTGCGCAAGCTCGCACAAAGTGTTTTTCTGCGTTCTCGCCGTTTTAGGCTCATTTTGGTCTGCGGCATTTTTACCTGCAAATTTCTGCATAAAGTGGCTTTTGTGAAATGTTGACATGCGTTTCGAGCGCGCAGGCTCGCACAAAGTCTGCGGCGCGGCTTTGGTCTGCAGCATTTTACCCGTAAATTTCCATATAAAGTGGCCCTTGTCATTGTGAAATCTTGACATGCGTTTCGATTGCGCAGGCTTTTGAGGTGCGTTTCGACTGCCCAGGCTCGCACAAAGTGTCTGTCCGCGTTCTGGGTTCATTCTGGGGCGCGGCATTTTCCCTATAATTTTTTGTATAAAGGTTGCTTTTGTGACATGATGGAACGCATGTCCCAAAATGTGCCATCGTCATCGTGAGAATCCTTTTCATCATCATCACCATCATCACCATCACCATCACCATCATCGTCATCATCCTCACCATCATCATCACCGTCGTCATCATCAGCATCACCACCATCATCATCATCCTCACCATCAACATCCTCCTCGCCTTCATCATGATCATCATCATCATCACCACCATCATCCTCACCATCACCATCATCACCATCATCACCATCATCATCACCACCATCACCATCATCATCATCATCATAATCATCATCATGTGTTTCTCTGTGTTCTATTTTTTGTCTTCTCTTGTCACATCTTCTCTTCCTCTGTTGCAAAATCATTTACGCGATTTGTTGTTCCGGCTCACAATGTCTTTGGAGCAAGTATCTCACGCATGAACCAACGCACAGAATAGGATATACCTGCACCAAGTTGTTCGGAACATGGCATTGAACAAGCAAACACATTTGCAGCTTGCAGCATAGGAAGAAACGCCCTTTTCATGATCCAAAGTCTATACGGCAGAAATTGTTTTTTCATATGCCTGACCAAGCTTACATGTACACAGTTTTTCTGTTGCTATCTTGCCGAAGGTGCCCATACACATCAACTAAATTTCCCCAAACAGTGTGTACACACTGAGGTAGGTGAAAAAGCCGGTGCTTGATCAGGGTGCTCACTCAAGTCTGCGGCATTGTACGTGTAAATTTCATATGAAGTGAGTGGTTTTTGTGAGATGTTGACATGCGTTTCGACTGCGCCGCCTCGCACCAAGTCCGCCGCGCGGTTTGTGTCTGCGGCATTTTACCCGAAAATTGATGCCTAAAATGGCTCTTGTGAAATTTTGACATGCGTTTCCACTGCGCAAACTCGCACAAACTCTGCGGCGCCTTTTTGGTCTGCGGCATTTTACTTGTAACATTCCGTATTACAGTGCTATTGTGAATCTTGACCCGCGTTTCGACTGCGCAAGCTCGCACAAAGTCTGCGGCGTTTTTTTGGTTTGCGGCATGTTATCCGTAAATTTCCGTAAAAAGTGTGACATGATGAAATGCATTTTGACAAAGTGTATCATCATCATCATCATCATCACCGTCATCATCATCATCATCATCGTCATCATCAGCATCACCATCATCACCATCATCATCATCATCGTCATCATCATCATCGACATCATCAGCATCACCATCATCACCATCATCATCATCATAATCATCACTGGTCCTCTTCAACATCATCCTCTTCCTCCTTCCTTCATCATCCCCCACGTTATCATCCATCATCACCATCATCACCGTCACCGTCGCCGTCACCGTCACCGTCATCGTCATCATCATCATCATCACCATCACCATCACCATCATCATCACCGTCGTCATCACCATCATTGTCATCACCATCATTGTCATCACCATCACCGATCACCATTATCAGCACCATCACCATCATCATTATCATCATCGTCATCACCATCTTTACCATCATCATCATCATCATCATCATCATCACCACCGTCATCGTCATCGTCATCATCATCATCATCATCCACATCATTCTACATTATTTGTCCACTCCCCGACACTGTTTGGGGTCTTTTGCCGGGATGATCTTATTGAAGATTAGTCCGTGGCCTATTCAAAATTGTTTTCGGGTTTTTTTATGGTTAGGATGAAGAGGGTAAAAAACCAGGATGAAGAGGGTAAAGGACCAGGGGATCAAGAGGACCGGGGGACCAAAGGACCAAGGGCCCAGGGCACCAGAGGTCCTCCGACAGGATCAGGGGAACCCTTTCCTTTGCATGTTTCGGATGGTTTTTGCCCTCCACGGCTGACGTGGCCAATCCTTTTTTGATTGGGGGCATGGATTCGTCGGCATGAGTCCGTCCTCCTTTGTTTTGGCACAGTGTTTTTTCCCTTCCAAGACGGTTTTCCCTGTGACGGTTTTGTTGGCTATTCCTATTGTCCGTTGGTGCAGTCCGCCTCCAAACTGGAAGCCTGGACGCCGCACTTAGCTGAAATTCTTGACTTTTCGCATAAGTGATAGTTTTGTACAATTTTTTGTGGTTATTTTCAGCGGCCGTGTTACTGCCACTGCTAAAGGACAACTGGTGGAAAATGAAGGGCAACTAGTGGGAAATGAGCAATCTCGAAAACCCTACCGTAGGGTCACGGAAACGACATCCACAAATTTGGGATGGTCCCATCGCTTACCACACGTTTGTTCAATAATGCTATATGGTAAACTTGGGGGGTATCGCTTGCAGGAAACTGCTACATTTCAAGAAATATACATTCACAGAAATCAACGTCCAATTTGGGTATCGCTAATGTGGATATTAGAGAAATACAATGACATCACCTTGACAAGGGGTACCGCTAATTTGGGAAGGTCCCATCGCTTGCCCTGTGTTTTTAGCAATGTCTATTAATTTCCATAACCAATGTCCGTCCAATACATATTTAGTATTGCCGGGATTTTTGCGGTGGCTCAAATGAAACACAAGTAATGGAAATCAAGGAAAACTCTTGCAAATTTAGGGAAAACTAATGGAAAATGAGGGAAAAACAATAGCAAACAAAAAAAAAACTTACAAAAATCATCAGTTTTGCTTTTCGGGTGTCTGTTTTGTTTTTGTTCTCCTTGTGTTTTCAAGGTTGGCCCGGCCTTGCCTGGGTGTGTATGCGTGTGTTCATATCTGCTGGTTTTTTTCCGCTTCTGATTGGTTGCTTGATTGGTTGGTTTACTTGGTTTGTCGCACGTAGGGATGCAGAGGGCCAAAGCACCCGTCAGTGGCCAGTGATATCGCCAAGCCAAGAGCTGCCACGTCGTTATCATATGTAGTTTTGGCATCGGGGATGGATCTGCCCTTCAATCGACCCATATCAGCACGGATATGCATGATAAACAGATACTACATTGATCAAGTATGTGACATGGGACGCAACTGCCCAGCAAGTCTACCAGCGACACACAAGCGTAAACATGTTGCCAGATCAAATTCCTAAGTGGCTGGCCTTGAATGCAGCGGAAAGTCTTTTCCTTGCAATGTTGAAACCTGGTCGATCCCACCCGTCTCGAAATGGAAGTACGAGGCCGGTGGTGATGCTCCCTCACGGGGTTTCAGATGGGCACGCGTTCGCTTTGGTCGTATTTTTGACTCGTTTTCGTCGCATGTTTGCATCGCTTCGGACCTTTGTTTCTTATTGCCATGGCCGTACGGTGGGCATGCCTTCATCCAGTGACTCCGGGTGCCCGGTTCTTCGTTTCCGGTTGCCTGTCTCTGGGTTCGCGGGTGCTGGTTCTTGGTTCTTCGCTCTTGGCTTAGGGTTCCTGGTTCTTGGCTCCGAGTTCCTGGTTTTTTGTTCTTGGTTCTTGCTGCTGGTTTTGTTCCTGGTTCTTGGTTCATAGTTCTTGGTTTTTGCTTTGTGGTTCCGGGTTATTTTTTGGTTCCCGGTTCTAGGTCCTTGGTTCGTGGTTCCTGGCCCGGGGCGAAAGCAGTGATCACCTCCACGCACGCACGCAAGGCAAGAACAGCACGTCAGACTTGAGATTTCCCAAACGT